GTCATACATAACTGTGTATATTTATATGTGTTGGGAGGGATATCACTCCTGTCATACATTACTGTGTATATTTATATGTGTTGGGAAGGATATCTCTCCTGTCATACATAACTATATATATTTATATGTGTTGGAAGGATATCACTCCTGTCATACATAACTATATATAATTCTATGTGTTGGGAAGGATATTACTCCGGTCATACATAACTGTGTATATTTATATGTGTTGGGAGGGATATCACTCCTGTCATACATTACTGTGTATATTTATGTGTTGGGAAGGATATTACTCCTGTCATACATAACTATATATATTTATATGTGTTGGGAAGGATATTACTCCTGTCATACATAACTGTGTATATTTATATGTGTTGGAAGGATATCTCTCCTGTCATACATTACTGTGTATATTTATATGTGTTGGAAGGATATCTCTCTGTCATACATAACTGTGTATATTTATATGTGTTGGGAAGGATATCTCTCCTGTCATACATAACTGTGTATATTTATATGTGTTGGGAAACTTATCTCTCCTGTCATACATAACTGTGTATATTTATATGGGTTGGGAAGGATATCTCTCCTGTCATACATTACTGTGTATATTTATATGTGTTGGTAAGGATATCACTCCTGTCATACATAACTGTGTATATTTATATGTGTTGGGAAGGATATTACTCCTGTCACACATTACTGTGTATATGTATATGTGTTGGGAGGGATATCTCTCCTGTAAAACATTACTGTATATATTTCTATGTGTTGGGAAGGATATCCCTCCTGTCATACATAACGGTGCATTTTTTGTTTGTTATAAGAATGACATTACTTGTGTTATGCATACATTTTTGTGTAGACGACGATGAAACATTGTTTTGCAGTAACCTAATGTTTGTTATTTTCATCACATTTATATTTGAATTTTTTAAACGTTTCAAACAAAATGTCCCAATCGATCCGTTTTTTTTGGTGCAATGTGATTCATTATTAGCATGCGGTATTTATTTCTAGATATTATTTGTTTAATTACTTACGTGTATATGCCGTATCTTAATATATAACATGAACATTTGTTATAATAACAGTTTTACTTCTTTTATTCACATTTTCCCATTCATAAAAAGTCAACTAAATACTGAATCTTCAAAATGACTTCTAGGCTCAATGTGTTCGCTATTTCCGGTTATAGATGTCATTTGCCATGAGCAGACTTTGTTTGCAGACTTTGTTTGAAAATAAACGTTCCAAAATATGTTCTCAAGTCATATTCAACTTCATACTGTGTATTATCATGATAAAGAATATTTCGCTACTGGTAGGTGGTATATTAATGCAGTATATATATAATACTACTATCAAGGAAAACGAGACTACTAGACTACCGTGCCTCTGTAATGGTGAACTATATTCCCAAAACATTTTTTAATTGGCCACGATAATTTTTTTCTTGTATTATAAAGACGTTTGTGTTTTTTACTTGGTGTATTTTCAATTACCTCAGTACATAGTTTAGAATAGTTTCATTTACATGTTTTATACCTTAAATTACCTTGTTTAAAGTTTATGTTAAATATACTATTTAATAACACCAGGAGGTTTTATAGAGAAATGACACGTTTGGTGTGATTTTATTTGGTCTTTTCATCAGGAAACATATGAAAACTTAAATGATTGCAAATAACGGTTATATTACTATTGAAACTTGTTCACTTTATCAATAATAATTTCCTTTTATCTTACATTTTATAATAAAAAATATAATAATATATAAAGATATACTGATTGGTTTTATTTAAGCAATCGGAAATTGTGATTTAGTGACCTGATATTCTTTTAACTAATTGATTGAAACCAAATTATGTTTATGCATTGTTAATTATTTTTAGTCACCCCTGGATAAACTTCAGTGGGGACTATTAATTTCGGTTTTAGTCACAGATTTTGACATCTGTTGCTTTTCGCTAAAAATGCTTTCGTGTGTTTGCTTCTGTCGGAATATACCAGGCTCTAATTACAAGCCCTTGTATAACTCAGTTATCGATTTTCTTTTAAAACAGGAATAGCATAAAACCTGAAGATGTTCCAAATTTCACACGGGAATTACATATGAAGCGGTTGATTCATTGTTAATTACATTGTTCAATAAATGATCGATAGTATACACTTGCTTTAGTTATTTCTTTGTAACTAGGAAGTAAGAGTAGTTTTAATTAGCTGATGAAAGAAGGCAGTTCATTTAATGGCTAGGTACATAAATAGTGGATCCATCAGATGAAAGCTCTCTCTTGCTCTGGCGGTCGAAGTGGAAGGAACACCTCTAAAAAGGTAAACAGTGACCAAGCTGAATAAGTTTGGGCCTAGCTGCATAAGCTAGGGTTCCACTGTATAGTTTAGTACCTGCTCAAAATAAATTGTATTACTGGATAGTATGCATAGTCACAGGGTATCACAGTACAGGGCGACGTACTGTTGATACAGAGTGACAGGTACCAATACACAGGGTTTACCAAGGCATACTTAGGTTTTATAGTGGCTAGGGTGACTTGGTCAAAAGGCAGTCGCGGTTAAAGGGTGACGTGGTCAAGGGGTGTCGCGGTAAAGGGTGTACACAATTAATCGTGTCGCAGTAAGGGGATATTTACTGTTGATACAGGGCGACGGATATATTGATACAGTTGCTTAAGTTGGCTTTTTGACTATATTAGTGTTAGAGGTATATTAATATTAATGTAAAATATCTACCGGGTGTAGATTAGGCAGAAGTGATTTGTGGCAGTAATTTGTTGAATCATTAGGGAATAGTTATTTGAGTCAGATAGACGGCCATTATTTTGTATATACTGTCGGCATTTATTTGTTACAAACAACAATTACTGACTTGATAACGAACTGTAGGCACGCATCTGTTACACATATAACATTAAGATGTTCCGAGTATGAATCCGGCACCTTTGAGGTTCCCGAAGGGGTGGACTATTATATAAAAAATTGCTATTGGTTGGTTTAGATAGTTTATGTCTGACCAACGACTACCGTTAATATTCGCATTTATTGAGCACTTTTAAAATGTCGTTCTTGGGTAAAATCATGCTGAACTATTCAATCTTGACAGTAGGAATGTGTCAAAACGACATGAGGAAAGTGGCAAGGTTTGAAGTTGGTGTACCACAAAGAGTCAAAGTCGCGTGATACTATTAACCGGCAGGAATTCACAAGGTGACATTCATGCGAATTGAACCGATAGTGATAAAAGTAAGAGTTTGAAAAAAAATATTAATGGGCTCAAAACAGCCAAATACTCTCCGATCTTTTCTTTTCAAAGGAGAATAGCTGAAATCACAATTGTTTGGTGTTCTTCATGTCTCGCGAATTTAGCTGTTGGACGAGGACCATGGGGAAAGTGGCAAGGTTTGAAGTTTGGGTACCACAAAGAGTCGAAGTCGCGCGATACTATTAGCCGGCAGGAATTCACAAGGTGACATTCATTCGAATTGAACCGATAATGATAAAAGTAAGAGTTTGAAAAAAAATATTAACGGGCTCAAAACAGCCAAATACTTTCCGATCTTTTCTTTTCAAAGGAGAAGTGCTGAAATCATACTTGTTTGTTGTTCTTCATGTCTCGCGAATTTAGCTGTTTGCGGTCCTCGTCGGACCTGTTTGAGTGACTGATGTTACCGGGGCGTGCAAGTCATATGGCATATCCACTTGCATATACAACCCAGTGAAATATTTCACTATAACAACAACAAATATATCATATACCAAAATGTTCATTAGAAAATAATGGTCATTTATAGACGATAACAATTTTAAAAAGTTAACTCAAAACTTTCCGAGAACACATTTAAATTCATTGGATGGTTGCGTCCCTAGCTAACACAAGCTTAGTCCTAAAACTCCACAAAAATGTTATTTGATTTCTTCAATATATAATCTATGAAAACCTGCAAAGGAATTCACTTAAAATCCCTTTACAATGAAATACTGGCACAATTTCCTGATGGTTGTTGGCCAAAATTTTCAGCTATTTTTTGCTAGAAAGTAGACCATGTAGTCAATGAAGCAGAAAGTATGGAGGCTCAAATCTCCAAAACTGAAAACAAAACAAAAACAAATAAATGTCCTCCATTTTTTACTAAATCCTCTTAAAACTTTGATGGCTTTATTATATTTAAATATTGTAATGATTCCAAAATTGGAAAATGTTTCAGACAATCTTGAAAAGACTTATCACCCTTTATTTTATTTTCATTTCAAAACTGTTCAGATATCTTCTCCCTGATTTCTACAGAGACAGTCTTTAAACCTGCTTGGCTTTGTTGCAACAACATGTCGTTGTGCTTTCTGAATTGGAATTTGATTTTGGTCATATCTTACAGAAATGTTGCCCTTTTATTCTTCAACATTTCAATCTTGTCTAGAAATATGTTCTCTCAGTTTTTCACCAAGATTGTTGAAACTTGGCAGGCTTTATTTGCATGAGGTGTGTATGTGCTTCCTAATTCAAAATTATTAATTGAACAATGTTTAAAATAGTTATCTTTACTGACAGATTTATGGAAAACAAAAACCATAGAATACAGTTACCTCGTGTATGAAATTCATGTGATGTATTATAGTCTGAAAACAGGAGCCTTTCTGTTCAATGTATCTGTTGTATAGGACGCCAGATAGAATCTACAGAGTATGATTGGTGTATTTGTCACATCAGTAAAAATCTAGCTGTAGGGAAACTTATCAAGTATATGACTTCCATAATGGTTGGTTGTCTGAAATTATAAATCAGCAACACATCAATTTAGATACCGTTAATATGCTTCATTATAAAGATTAGCTGAAGATATGATCTGAGATTTCAATTAGCCTGACTATATTTCATTGAAATTAATTTAGTGAAAGATATACAATGTTGTAGAATACCTAAACCAATATTCATCATAAAATATTTTCTCTATTTAACAACAGTAAAAAAAGTATTTCTAAAATATTACAACTACTCACTAGTTGACCCTATTATGATTATCTATGATAGCAAACAGGTTTTTTGGCCCTTATACACATAATCAAATTAAAAATTAATTGTCCAGTGAATCACATCAAACAGTATAGGGTTAGGGTTATTAGCAAATTCGTTGTTGAAATTGCCAATCTGTGATAGGTTTGAAAATTGTCTCCTGAAGTGCACTTTGGATTTTTTCACCAGTTATACTTACCGAGGAAAACATTGAACACAAAATTGTTTGACGACTGGCCACATAGATACACTCCTGCCAAGGTTGGGCTTGAGATACTGGTTGACTTGGCTATTTATCTGACTGGTTGGCTGGGATATTTGTGTGAGTTGGGTTGGTTTACTGTTGTGTTAGTTGTCTGCACTTGTACCTAAAAATAAAAAGGAAGTGTTCAAAAATTAGGCCAGTGTAGATAACGGGTCTATGGTCTTTGATAAGATGACAAAAACATGGAGGGATGCTGAACATTTGGGGACTGTTGGAATGACTGACAGAATATACTGAAATTAACACCATTAGGAAGAAAGAGAGAAAGGAAATCTTTTTAATCTTTCTATCACAAAACATGGACTTATACAACTGGTGAGGTATGGTACATGGATACTTGTCCATGCCCTATGTAACACCAGATACACAACAGTTTTGTAAGTTGTAAGTCATGATCAATTCTAATGTGTTTATCAAGGAACAATTCTAATATGCTTACCAAAGAAAAGGTTGGCTGGCTGTCAGGCTGTCTGGTGAGTTGGCAGAGCTAGTTGGCTGATTTGACTAGGTTGGTTGGCCAGTCGCTTAAGTGCCCAACTGATTCAATGGGTAACGTGTAGTGTATCTGTCATCTATAAAATAACAAAAATATAACAATTCTATAAAAAAAAATCTCACTGACAGATATTATCTACACAGTTTGTGTAGTAAACTATTTCATTTACATATTTAATCAGCATTGTGAAACATCAGGTCGCATATGTCTCAAATGTAGTTTGATAAATAGCTATAAAACATCAAAACATTTATCTTTCATCCTGATAAGTGCAGTTATCCATTTAGCCTAACTTACTAGAGGCAGTCCATATTGTCCAGTATATTTTTTCTGATCAGTGCAGTATGTACAGAGGTCTACAGCTGAAATAAGCCTTAATATTGGCCGAGAATCATAACTAACCATCTTGACAGGAATGGTTGAACTTGACAGTAGTCTAGTTGACTTGGGTAGTTGACCGGCCTGGTTGATTGGCATAGTTGACTTGTGCAGTTGACTGGTTTGGTTAAATTGTCTGGTTAGATGGACTGTGTAACTGTGGCTGGGGGAGTGTACTAGTTGACTGGTCTAGTTGACTTGGCTGGCTGGCTGACTGACTGGACTGGCAGACTTGGGTTGGCTGACTCAACTAGTGGACCAACTGCTTAGCTAGTTTGTCATGTATCTGTTTCCTGTAAAATAGGAAAATAAAACAGTTCTACACAAAACATCTTAGGCTGCTTTCTTGGTTACACTTATATATAAAAATAAATATCACATCTTTAAACTATCAGGTAGAGGTAGGTACTGATTCCAAAACAAGCTCAATATAGTTTTCATATATGTGCATTACATAATTTGCACAATGAAGGTGCTCCTAACTACATTTTATTACAAAGTGGTGATTATTGGTCTGTCTATTAGTTCTGAACATCATACATAATGATGCCATAATTTATACAGTCAGAGTTTACATACGTTACCTGTTCAAAATGGTCTGCTGTACAGGTAGAGATTGTAAAGTACAGAACTTGATATATGTGTTTTCCCACCCAACGAAGCAGCATTGACACCAACAAACCTCAAATATATCATTGTCTACATTGATATAGTTGCAACAACATTTCCCATTTAATTTTTTTTACAATCATTTACATAATGTTACAATGATAGTATTTGATGTTAAGAAATGGCAAAAGTGTATCGCGCAGTTAAGTATGAAAAAATGTCATCTTTCATCCAGTTATTCAATTACTAAACTTCAGAAGCAGACAGAGTGACTCAAGTAGACTTGTTGGCTCAGTTGTCTGTGCGGACACAAGTGTTAATGCATGCCTGGTATGAGGGGTTACTCAGCATGTTACTGGTTAGGTCAGCAGGCTGGGATAAATGGCAGGGTGGTCTTGCTGTAGATTATGCACCATGGTTTTTGATGTTTTCCGTTGTATTTTACATCGTACATTGCCCCATCTAGATATGTATGACACACCAAAGTAAAGGTGCGTTCGATCACACACACTAGTACAGTATAGGAGGGCTCGATAAGGAAAATACCATCACACCATATTCCTCATCTTTTCCTGTAACATATTCCAGCACATAGCCTTCTAACCATTTGTCTTTATTCAAGTCACCTAGTGAAAAATAGAAAGTGAAATGACACAACTCAATTCAAACAGGTGTTTTTAATGGAAAATTAATAACATTTACAACCATTAAAATACCATGTACAACCGTTGAAATATAAAATCCATGGTAAAAGTTTTTGGACCACAAATCTGAGAAGTAAGTTTGGAAGATTACATGCATTTTTACTGATGTTACTGATAAGCAATTACTGTTGCGACAATTTCCTCAACAAAAACAACTTCCTTGAAAACATGGTCCAGTAAGAGACATTCACAATATTGTCACACCAATGTACTGAAAAACTTACACTATTGTTTCCTTATATCAGCTATTTTAGGGCTGGAATATTTCACTCGTTGACTCAGCATATGTTGTAATACATGTATAGAGACTTCAATTACTTTGAAATAAACAGTGGGAGGCCAAATGCAAACTTTGCAAAAAATCATTGTTAGAATTTAAATTAAAGCTGACCACAGGGTTTTGCTTTGATCAGCATCAACTGTTTCAACTGGTTGAACCAGAACAGAAAGCACCGGTACAGACAGGAGCTAACCTCTGGGTATGGCACATGTAAATCATGGGGTCAATATGTTTATCATGTTTATTTCTGTGTCATGAAAACAGTCCAGTAAACATTAAACAGAATTTTTATAACTGTGTACCTGTTCCATCATTGTTGCATCTTTAACTCGACGCCTTCTTGATGTGGGAACACTTTGAGCTGGCAGTTCAATTTTTTCACCTGAAAATAGTTTTTAAAATTTTATATTACATCAATTTCTCCACTGCTTTATAGGATATAATTATAAATGGTTTCAAAAACATGCCAAATTGTTGAGTAACAATTTTGCACCAATTACAAAATGTGAAATTTAAATCAAAATGTGAAATTTAAATATTATGATTCAGTCAGTTACTCAATTTCATAAAAATTACACTTGTACATACTTTACTTACTACTTTGTTTACTAAACAACAGTGTGTGTTTGCTTGTTTCAATTGTCTGAATGAGAGCGTCCTATGTGAAGGCATATTTTGGTTGTAGAATCAATTCACCATAGTATGTGTTGTCTTTATTGTTGCCAGTTCTCATAGATTTCCTAACACATGAATTTCTGTTACCACAGAAGGTCACTTGGGGTACAAACAAAAAAACAATGTATATACATACACATGTAGTGATGTACATTACCTCAAAATGCCTTCCAGTTGCTTAATTAAATTTTAAACAGACTTTTTCTCTTTCCCAAGACAAATTTGAAGTGCTACACGTGTATGAGTCTCCATACTGTCACGGTCTTTTATACTCGAGTTACATTTTCGGGGGCTACTGACAGTGGGTAAACAATACATAACACATGCTATTTTTTGGGGAATAAATTAATTAAAATGGCAATATATCAAATAATGATACAAACATACATGGAAAGAAATGTGTCAAACATTAAAATTATTTTATTTTGCAAATACTCTTGTCCATAAAGCGAGAAAGTTTTCGAACCCCAAACAAATTTGTGTAACCACGTGAGAAAATGCAGATCTGACACGTTCAACACGGGGCAAATACATCATAAAAAGTGTTATATGAGCGACAAGAAACTGACGATCTGCGATCGACTAGCTCAGTGATAATAAATGCAGCATATATTGCTTAATATTTAAGGATATCGAACGTAATAGTAATATTTATGTGTAAATAATACTTACTTGCAAACGGACCTGTCCTTGGTTAGCTTACCGGATGATACAACTGTTGCAATATTGTCATTTTGAGACAACAATATCAGTTTTATCGATGTTTCGCAAAGATTTTCGGATTCACGGATTGATATTACAGAATGTAAAAAGTCCATCATGGCGAGATGTAAACAACATTCTGAATTAAGTCTGTGAAATCCTCGTTTTTCCCACTGAATCTGATCCATGTTTTCTTCATTAGCAGTCATTGGTAAGGACATTCATTTAACCAAGACTTATCATATGACCGATTGTCACAGCCAGATTATTTTTTTATAAAAGGTATGAAGACACGCAGTTTCGCTTTTTGAAAGTCTCAAAACCTAGTGAATTTTTTTGAAAATATCTCGATAGGTTCCCATTCCTTATGTGTGCGAGAAATAAATAATCTATATTTAGTGATATTTTATCGTGTAATAAAAGCTACAGCGATGCAACCATAAGCTATTACAAAAACGCTCCTTTTCTTCTTAAAATATTTTTTTGGAGAAAAAACATGATTTTGTTAATTGTTTGTTCATCAATGAAACCACTACGCACAAACAAAATGCGCTACGGGACTCATTGCTCTTGAATTTTACAACTGAATAAATTGCCATTTTTCACCAATGGTCACTGTATCTCCCCCTTAAGCGTACACACTCTGCCGATATCGATGTCCGATTTAGTCGGATTTGTCCTTACATGAGATTGAATCTTTTATGAAACTTATTGTTATGATAACAACATCGTTATATTCCAATTGCCTGTTATGCCCATGCCAGGTGACCGTGTCAGCAGATGTCCCCATAGGTTTACTCGAGGTGTCCGTCAACGCTAACGTTATATTTGCCGCATGCTTTCTTATTTATTCCATGTGTTGGCATGGCTACCTTAACAGCATGTATGTATTTACACCTGGTCATTGTTAGACCATTTTGATTGACAGGTGGAAATATATCAGTTGTAGCTTGGCCAATGATTTATCTGAAAATGAACATACATGAGATGGGGTGACTTTCATGTCATTTTGACATATTTCTAGTTGTAATACAGTTGAATGCAAACGCTACCTAGTGACGTAATCAGGTTTGCATTCAATTAAATAGTTTTTATCATTATTATATTCACCTGTATTGATAATACGGAACCTCCTCAAATTGATCCATTAAACATGTTTTAATCAATGATTTGTTTGGTAAATCTCAAATATGACGATCAGAATTGAACAATGTGCATATTATTGAAAGTGAGATTTTACAGTTCACAAAATCAAAACAATAGCATGTTTTGTTATTTGCTTGTCTCTTTAATTTTTATTGATTTTTGCAATGGATGTTATTTGTTATATCTTTTTTTCTCATTTTTACCACAAAGTAAATGCAACTTACGATCATGAAAGCTCGTGTAAGGAAATTATCCGCAGACATTATGAAAAAAGGTATATATTATTATCAGTTGGTCAGGCTATAATTGGAGAAATGTCAGACAATAGCAGCAGTAGAAAATGTGGTGAAAGTGTATTTTGTTATTAATGTAGTATACAATGTGTGTCATCACTTTCACAGTATTCCAACAATGCGCAAAGAAAACTAAAAGCTACATAAAGGTACCCTTAAGAGTTGTGTTATCAAGTGTATACAAAAAATAAACCAACACGATAAACAGCAAATGCGGGTTAAGTGTTTTCTACCATAGCGTTCAAATATATTACCTTTAAAAATGTGTGAACCTTATTTGTGCTTGAGGGAAACGAATGCTATGAGTTATGATGTCACAATGAAATATGCCAGTGCAATGCATTATGACTATCCGATGACACGACACCAAGGGTAATGGGTAACATACATTTGTACCGGCACATACAACTGTATTATAGTCAGACACATCCAATTGTATTATAGTCAGACACATCAAATTGTATTATAGTCAGACACATCAAATTGTATTATAGTCAGACACATACAACTGTATTATAGTCAGACACATCCAATTTTATTATAGTAAGACACATCCAATTGTATTATAGTAAGACATACTAAATGTTTTATAGTCAGACACATAAAACTGTATTATAGTCAGACACATACAACTGTATTATAGTCAGACACATCCAATTGTATTATAGTCAGACACATCAAATTGTATTATAGTCAGACCCACAATTGTATTATAGTCAGTCACATCAAATTGTATTATAGTCAGACATATATAATTGTATTAAAGTTAGACACATACAACTGTATTATAGTCAGACACATCCAATTGTATTATAGTCAGACACATCAAATTGTATTATAGTCAGACATATATAAATGTATTAAAGTTAGACACATACAACTGC